GAATAATTATATTTTTATTTGGTTTATACGATATACTATATAATTTTGGACTGAAACACTTGTGTATGATTCTATTCAAATCTAAAACTTATAATTATTATAAAACGTAAGAACTGTGTTTACCTGTAACATTTCAGCGAGAGTCGTAACTGTTTTATGTCATAAGAAAAAAGAAAGAAAAGAAATATACACAAGTTCAAAGTTACACTCTTTTGGATTATAATATATACGCGAATGTATACACGAATAATGATTGTTATATTCTCCAAATATAAGAACTAAAAACAACAGATTAAGAAAAGGAAAATCTAGACAATATGTGAAGATGAAAAGAAATGTTTTTACTTGAATTTATAATTAGCCCGAAAATTTATCGTAACTGGACCATTTTATTGTTGTACATTTCATTATCTGACATTAAAATCAATGTATACGGATAAAGAGGTGTTGTACTTGTAATATTTTGTGTCGTTTAAAAGAGAATAAACGAACAGCATATCAGAAATGGAAACAATTTTTGTTCTCTAGAAATAGCAAATTGAAGGAAATTACCTGTTTATGTATTGGAGGTGGTATGGCTCCACGACAGTCGCAAATGGATCGAACCACGGCTTCGTATTGTGTACTTTCCATACGATTACTGTTTACCTTTCAAGGACTTTGTATATCTCTGTTGATTAACAGCATGCTTATAGAGATTACTTATTTTAAGTTGATACAGTGAAATTTTCTTGGTACCAAGTAAAAGGCTACATATATTTTTTTTAAATAATATTTCGTGATTGTACCACGTTCTTTTATTTAAAAATTAATATATATATATATATTAATATATGTATATACAAATAGATTTGAATAAAATGAAGTTTATGTACACAATTGAAGGCTTAGATACAACTGTTGTATACTCTGTACAATGTTAAAATCCATAAAAAAATTATGAATTGTGAGTATTGTGTACTCAAGCTCCTATGCTTTGTGTATGTACATGTAATATTATTTATTAATAATCTGGTATTGCGTTAAAGCTGCCAGTCCAGTTTTCCTGAATATTGAATGCCGGATTTGATCTGAAATATTATGTAAATTAATGATGTACTTTCATTAATTTCAATAGTACATTTAAATAACGCGATCATTAGTTGTTATAATTTTGTGATATAACTTACCTTTTCGGAAAACTTTGAAAATCAAGTTAGCATTGGGCTGTCGACCCTTTTGTTGGTTAAAAATGCGCATGCAATATAAATTTTCGTCGGTTAGTGAGTGAATAAATTGTTATCGAAAAAATTAAGACGATCAAAATCACGTGTGACAGACATACAGCAATTAACAAATAAATATAACGAAGGAGCTCCAAAGGAACGCAATTTCCATTTATGAGAATTGTGACTTTATGTTGCAATAGAATATTGCAACCACATAGATGAAGTGTATTTTTATCACTAGAATATATTATTTAGAACAATAAAAAATGAGTAGTAGTAGATGATCTTAATGATAAGTACATACCATGTATGAGGCTATGTTGAAATCAGGTGATCTTGTAATTGTTTTTAAGTACTTAGAAGAAGGCATCTTGATTAAAATATTTTCACAACGTAAACTCATTTATGTACTTAATGATGTTTCTGACACATTGAAGAAACTATGAATGAAAAAGGAATAATTCGACATTTGAACCGTACCAGCTTGTTTAATGTTTAATATCTATTAGATGCTTAAACGCTAATTTAATAGATCATGGCAATACATCATGATAACCAGATTTCCTTTATTTATTTTTATTTCAGATTATTTTCCTTATTCAATGATTCAAGCATAAATTAATTGCACATTTAACAAATAGTAGTAAATTCAAATATAGAATGAAAACAAAAAACCCACGCATACATACACATACCACATTTATTGTCTCCACGTGAAACATTAAGTGACAGAAAGCAACGCAACCGGTTGTTCTATATTCTGTACAGTGATGTTTATTTAAAAAAAAATGTATACACATTGTGTTAATAAGCACAAACCAAGAACTGTTCTTTTTCGATCTTCCGAACTAACGAACTCAATGTATATCCATTTATAAATGGAATTATCGAAATATCTCCGGAATTGCTGAAGATAAGAATATGAATGATAACGAATTAAATTGTCTTTTAATGTGTCCAGAGATTTTACAAATACCAGAGATTTTTACATGATCTCATTGACATATACAAGAGCACACATATGCACGCGCGCGCACACACGCGCGCGCGTTAGAAGAGCCACATTAATCCTTCCAATATCGTATAAAGACCTTCGATGCATTTCGATATCATTGCACACAGTTAATTCGAATAATAAAATGACAATCGTGACATAGTAAACAGATACGAGCATGAATGCAAAAATTAATAATACGCATGCATATAATACTGAAAAGCAGTCACTATAGACTATAAACATTCTTCAAAGTATATCGTAATTTAAAACAATTAAAGTATGCAATTTTTATGAAAGATTACATTGAATTAAAATAATACTCCCTCCACTCGAAAATAAGTGTCTCGTTTACAGGTAATGAAAGAGAGTAGCCAATGTACGGAATGTGAACACCTATTTCGGAATGGAAGTAGCAAATAACATGAAGCGACTAATTAAATTGGCTAATAAATTTCTCTAGAAGATAGAAGCGTGAAATCTCACCTTGCGTATATAGTTGGATTCGATAATCCGAGGGTTGTACTTACAGGACTACCAATGTATTTTCTCACAAACTGCAACAAAGGTAAACAACGAAGTAGTAAGAATTAGTATAAACAATGAGAGATCGTTGCTACTCGATACATACCGAGAGATCGCCGAGAGAAGTGGCACCCATACTAACAGCCATATGAATTGTCAAGTAAAGGCAAAATAGGAGATACAAGATGGAATAGATTGAAATAGCAAATATTACTGCCCAATGATGAGGTAAATCCTCTTGAACCGTGTTTATCACAAAATATATGTTTATAGTTATTACTATTACAGATAATGCTGTCGCAATAATTTTGTTTGCTCTGAAATTGAAAAGTATACTTTAGAAACACTCGACTAGCGCAGGAATGAGTTCAAGGACAGTTACATACAATCCATTTCGAAATTTCCCCATTATCTGAGAGCTACTCGTAAATGCTATAGTCGGTAGAGTTGCAAAAGGTAACTGAAGCGTCATGATAGCATTCAAAATGTCGTTCATTCCAGTTAAATTGTCTATATCGCTAAAAAAGGCTACAAGAAAAGTAGGAACAATAGCAATCATTCGCGTAAAAAGGACTCGCTTCCATCGAGCCCACTGAAGATTCAAGAAACCCTCCATTGCAAATTGTCCTGCGTACGTGCCAGTCATCGTGGAAGACTGACCAGCCGCAAAAATACCTACAGCCCAAATATACATTGCAGCACCGCCAAAGGCACAACCAAGAAATATGCCACCTTTATTAAGATCTACCGAAACGGTGTCATTATTTCTCTGCAATTTACATAATTCGCTATATTAATTGTACATATTAGATTAATAGGATATACCAGAGAAGTACTATACGAGAAGTACTAAGAAGATGATACGATTACTCACGGGAAATGTCTCCGTTCCTATAGTGTAGTTGTTACTCTCGCATAGATCGTGCTAAAATGAAATAAAATGTAATGAAAGAAAATGAAATTTCTATAAAATTACAAGTATTCCGGATTTCACGTTCGATTTTCTACACTTACAACTTTTTCGTTAGTTTTATTATAAAGACCATCTGCAAAAACTGCTACAACAAATACATTTATAACAAAGGAAACGAGCAGCGCTATGCAAGCTTCGACGAAATAATACATATTCGCCTCCTTTACTTTTTTGGGTTCCCTGCGATCGATATCTCTCGACTGAAAATTACAATTGGATAGATTGAAATAACGATTTTATAGATTTTATAGATTTAATAGATTGGCACGAGAAACACGGGCATGCCTAGTTTCTAGAGTTCAGAGAACAGACATTATGTATTTGTAGCTTCTGAATTTTCCTTACCTTAACTAGAGCGCTGTGAAGATATAAATTGTGCGGCATTATAACTGCACCAACAATGCCTACTGCCTGCAGTAACATGTTCCTATCGTAGTCCTTGTACCAGGGTACAAACATTCCTTCTATTACTTCACCTTGTGGAGGAGCAGAAACAACATACTAAGAAGACAATTGAAACAACAAAGATGTAGAGAGCATAGAAATTGTTGCGTCAATTGGTATATTTAATATTTAGTAATAATAATAATGTATAATTTACCTCATAACCAAAAGTAATGGCCATTATCGTAATAAGAAATCCAAAAAAAAATTCTAACTTTCTCAAACCATATTTGTCTAATAATAAAAATGTAAAAGTATCTATTACAGTGATGAGTACACCACCCCAAATAGGTATCCTAAAACGATATGACGAGTACATAACTAAATATATAAGCGAACCAAAGAACAATCATGAGAAAGAAAGTAAACAGAAAAATAAGAATATATTCGATTGAAAATATTTGATTAATATTCGAGTATGCGTTGAATATATTAAGAGGAAAAGGCTCACGCTTTGTTTGTTAATAGCGATAGAGCAATGGCTGTTCCTATGACCTCTTGCATGTCGCTACCAATGATAGCCACCTCTATCATTATCCATAATATTAACCTAGGTATTCTCTTGTATTGCCTATAACACATTTCAGCTAAATGTAAACCTGTTACAACACCCAGCCTAGCGCTTAGCCTTTGCATAATAAGGCCTAAAATCGTTGCACTTAACAATACCCATAATAACTAAAAGGAAAATAAATTTGATAAAAAACAAAACACCGAGTTGGAGAGTTCGATTAGATGCGATGGTAGTACGATTAGAAAACATACCTTATATTTAGCGGTTACTCCGGACTGCAAATCGGATTCTATATTTCCTGGATCCAAATAAGCTATGGACATTAAAAATCCAGGACCCGTAAAGGCCCATAATTTTCTCAAACTGAAGAAACCCTGTAAAAAATTCACTCGATATTAGCGATGCTTGGTAGCGATGAAAATTTGCTTGTTGAAGTTTAAAAACGTTAATCCCAATAAACTACAATACATTACATCGTTCGTCTCCGGTATATGAATTTTTTGATCGGCAAAATATGCTTGATTACTGTTGGGTGCCAAAGAGGTACTTTCGGTCGGTTTAACATTGTTTTGCATTTCCTGTGTTGGCTGATGAGGCATCGCCGTCGTGATCGTTGAATCATTGCTGTGCTCGATAATGCGATTGTTCTGCATGGTGTATCGAGACGCGTCCAAACGCGAATCGTCGGTTCCTGATAACGTTTAAAGTTTCCCAGACACGAAAAGAAGGAGAACGTAAGAACCGACTGAGCTTTATTGGTGTTGGTCGAGTAACGTAACGTGTCAACCGAAAGATGATCGAAAGGCACGAACGTGCCTTATTTAGTTTTCAGGGGATATACAGCTTCTTCGAAATGTAAACTAATAATCTTATTTAAAGTTTGCGTCACCATCGAATTGAAAATTGGCACGTTGCAACTCAAGGGAATCGAAGAAAAAATGTTCGCAACGCGAAGAAAATCCGGGAGTAACAAGAATACGCGAACGAGCCGTGCAACGGTCGCACACCAACTGATACTACCGAGTCGGTACCACTGACGCTGCTCACTGTCGCGATAAACTGGTAAACGCGCAAGATCGCCATCTGTTTTCGTTTCGAGTGTGCCCCTACTTTTATCCTATTCCTGCCAGCTTATTCAATCTGTTTGAGTTGTCGTGTTCCCTCGATACGAATTCTGTGACGGTAATGACCGAATGAAATCGAATCGAATCAAATTTAATTGAATCGAATCGAATCGAATCGAATCGAGTCGAGTCGAGTCGAATCGAATTGAATCGACGAATCGAATCGAATCGAATCAAATCAAATCGAATTGGATCGAATTGGATAGAATTGAATCGAATTGAATCGAATTGAATGGTGGAGGTGTTGGCGTTGGCGACGGCAGGGGTTAGAGTTTGCGGGAATTACCGTTTGAACTTACTGGGACGTAAATGTTGAAATATCACGTATTTGATCACGGTACGATAATAACTGCGCGACGTTGAGCGAGAACTGTCAGGGATTCCCCGTGTACACACGCACAGTACTTGCAAGATCTACTACCGAGTAAAACATGTATATTAGTTCCTATGCGGTACGATCGTTTATGCGATGAAAGGTCGAATTCAAAGTGTTGGAAAAGAAAAGCGTTTTCTTAGGAAAGTTCAAAAGGAATCTACACGATTGAATCGGAGACTAGTAAATTAGTAAGATGAACAGTTGTCGCGTACCACCGGCAGACTGATCGAATGAATTCGTTAATGTTCCCGTGTCCCAATATCGAGAGTTTAATCGACTACGAGATTAGATACACGAGCAGAATATATGCAACGATCGTTCGTCGCACCGGATAATTAGGGTATTTCACTTCGAGAAACCGATTCCATTCCGTGAAATCATAGAGATTCGCGATGGATCCGATGATTCGGAGGCAGCTGTTTTACGCGTGTCGTAAATCATGATTATCGGTGAATCATTGCCACGGTAATTCCACTGTACCAGGAAAATAATCGTCAATGAGAACCCTTGAAATTCATCTATCTCGATACGTCTATCGACTTGTTGACTTTCAACGGAACGAAAATTACGTTATTCGGGAAAATCCTAGAACGAAACTGTGTAAACGTCGTAGCAAGAAACGAGCGAAGGAAGAGAAGAAAGTGCGAGAGAAGAATTTAGAACGACATCAGGGTCGCGACGCGGACGTACCAGCCAGATTCCTCGAAGGCATTATTCTCCCGACGAGAGTGCGCACCCTGTACTGATTTTTCTGATAAGCTACCGGAGTAATTCCCTTTCGATTAGGATCTCTCACGTCCCAAGTTTTCCAATTAAAATTATCAAAAAAGATTAATCTAATCTGCAGATCTGGGAGGGACAATTAACTTAGCGACGTGGGCCAGGGCTACCCTGAGGTATGCTCATCGAGATAAAGTCTCTTGTTATAGGATAAACTCGAACCTTATCGATATAATCGTATACGTGACTGCAATTCGATCGACGATTTTCGATACTTTGGAGGAGATAGTAGGAAGTCGACGCGTCGCGAACCATCGTGAACCATTCCCTTGACACTAATTTCAAACGCGAATCACTTTAAACGGAAAAGCAGAAAAACAGAAAAGCGTACCCGTAAACCAAGTTTACTACGAAAAATCTACTTTCAACTTCTATTGCGACGTTTACGAGGACACTCTGGAAAATTACCGATTTTGCTGTCGTGCCACTCGTAAAGAACGATTACGATGACGTTTGTTTTGTTCGTGGCAGAGAAATAGGGCATTTTCCATCGGAGAGACAGTAATGTCATTTATTCGTACGCAATAAAATGTCCAATCTGGGAAAGCAATCTCGCGTATTCTAATGTGCGTTGTTATGTATGTAGTTATTTGTCATGGATCTTTGATCAACGATACGCAGAAATGTTTGCTCGCGTGCACACGCGAGCGAATGCGTCGAATGCGTCGAATGCGTCGAGGCACGTAAGATTACGCGAATACACAAGTTAATGGGTCGATTAAAATCGGTTTGCCTTTTCCTACGATATCTACACGAAACCATATTTTTTCCTCGAGATAACGCGCGTTCGAAGATCGCGCGGAAAGCTAACCTCCGTATTGCTAATGCTTCAACCGTATCGTCTCAACGAACCGAACAACTTGTTCGCGTTGGATGTCGATTTCGAACAATTCGAAATGTCACGTTGCTTCTATTCCCCTGGTAATTTCTCATGAAATGATGCGCTCCAAGTTCCGTTAACAATAAGAATACGCTCGGATTTCCACAAATTTCATTAGATTCCAAAGTTTACTCGGGTTGCGTCGCACTACACACGTTTTAAATGATCTGCAATTATCGAAATCGTAATATGGAACCACGCTAAATTTTCTGTTGATTTTATTGTGGTTTAATCCGACTGCATAATAAGCGAATAGCTTATGTATATAAATCGATGAAAATTTTCATTCGAATTCAATTATCCGTGCTGCGAAATTCTAGAGTCCCATTCATGGTGGTAATACTTGAAACGCATGCGCACTGAAAATTCGTGTGAAAAAACGTTAGAGTTTCCTTTCTATGAAGATTCAGTGTGCTTGTATATGGACAAGTCATAGGGTGTGGTTTTTCCCACTCGTAAGTCGAATCGGTGATTTAGTCATTAAATACTGCGTCGAGTCGTCTTGATTCCTCTCTGGAGTGACAGCTGGGTAAGAATAATTTTTAGTAGGACTGCTTACATGTATTTATGTACGGTACGTACGCGCGTGCGCATCAACTGTGAACACGTATGATGCGCGCGCGCGTATGTGTGCGATAAATATGCATAGGTACACATGTGTACACTATATTGCCTATCAGTTTATCCGTAATTCATCTGATTTCTAATTTAATTAGTGAATCGGTTTAGTTTTTTTTCTTACTGCTCGAACGGATAATATCGTGAGCGTGGAAAAGGACAACGGCAAAGTCTAAAAGTCGCTCTAAAGAAATTTCTAAACTCGCAAGATAAGGGATTTATCAGTCAGCCATTCGATTCTTACACGATCTCCCAACGAAACGTATTTCACAATCCCCTAAGAGTTGAACATTTCTTCGATTATTGACATTAAAAGAACGTTCCTGAATACATTGTTCTTAGGATAATACATTTCGTCTACTTACCAAGTGAGTTTAAAGACTGTTTCAATGGAATCAACTCCATTCTAATATAAGCGAGTGGTAAAAACTTTTACTTGACAGATACACCGTTCGACTAGGAATAACTACTTACAATAAAGATTTACAGAGTTTATCGCGTAATATTATTTCCTACTACATCACAGATTATTCGTAATACGATAGACTTCAGGATTCGTTAACCGTAAGGTATAAAAGTTACTAACGCAATTACCGTGTATGTGTTATCGCTTCAGAAAAATGTCAAATACTACTGGTAGTTTGGAGCAACAAATTGCAAACTTGCAAATTAATCATGGAGATGGCATTAAGATCGTAAAATCGGGCAAGAAAATTGGGCCAGCAGTGCCACCAAAGCCAAAAAAATCCCAGCCTCAGGTCAGTGAGTTATACACGAGTACTAGAAAGAAATTAATTGCTCGCTGATTTACGATATTCTATGGTTGCTTTTCATGTCTGTCCCATTATTACACGGGCACATTACCCATGGTAAAAAGTTTATTGTATTCGGGACTATTCTGAACTGACCTTTCGTAAAGCAGAAATCTATTTTATCGTATTTGTTTAATTTCAGGTAACGCAAAGTTACACCATAAAGGCAGCATCGGTGCCGTCGTACACTACGGTAATCGACAATTCTGGAACGAACGAGAAATCACAGAATTTTTATGCAAACTCTCCTACTCCGTACACGCCCATAAATGTAGAGAAAAATGATTTCTCATTGTCGTCTACTACAAACGGAAAGGACACGTCGAAACTTTATCAGAATAATGATAATTTTTATGCGCATCAAGGGGAAGAGAAATTCGAACCAAAATACGGATACGAAGAGAAAAATTATTACTCGAACGTTGGAAATTTACCCGCTCCTCAAGTCCCTGCAGAGGATCACTCCAGATCAATAAGAAACGTTGTATACAGCAACATAGATCCTCCAGGGAATGTACAGATCAAACCGGGAGGCAAGACTGAGAAGGATATAATCTACAGTAATATCCAGTGGAATTCGAAACCAGAAAACACATATTGTAATATTCCTGCTGCTCACGGTAGGTAATCGGAGAAATCTCATCCGACAAATGGTAAAAAAGATCGATCGATCGAGAGATTGTAGATTCGGTAGTTACATGGTTAATTTTCAGACGATTTACCACCGCCGCCGGAACCATCGGAATACGTTCCTTGCGTACCTGGTAGTTCTTTTCCTCCGCCACCGGAAGAACTACCACCTCCGCCAAGTCCCGTTTCGTCCAGTTACAGCGAATTGAGACGCGCCACTTATCAGACCGACTTCCCTTCGGACAATTATCCAAACGATATTTACGGGACAAGCTCACAGTCGAGTTCAACGTACGAGTCGATATACGAACCGATCAATCCTAGACCGCCTTCTCAGTTGTCTTGCAATTATTCCATGTATTCCGGTTACGGGTCCGCTACATCGACTCAGCCGCAAGGGAAGGTGTCGCCAGTCAAGGAAGTATGTTTGATAACGAATCGGTCGAAGCTCGATTACGTTTTTGATGAATACCAACGGAAGAATAGACATTCTTTCATCCGTGTTCACTGGTAATTTCTCCGTTTTCGATAAAAAGTATTTCCGTTGTGTGTTGTCAGGTAGACGATTTGATGGACTTATTGGTTCGCGGGGTGGAAGATAACGACGAAGACGATGACATATACGGAATATGCGCGCAATGCGGTCATAAAGTCGAAGGCAAAGGTTGCTCCGCTATGCACAAGGTTTTCCATATCGACTGTTTCTGTTGTTACGTTTGTAAAGTAAACTTGCGGGATAAGCCGTTCTTCTCTTTGGAGAGCAAACCGTATTGCGAGAAGGATTACTTGAATACTTTGGAGAAATGCTGTGTCTGCACTCGACCTATATTCGACAGAATATTAAGAGCTACGGGGAAACCGTATCATCCATCTTGTTTCACGTGCGTGGTTTGCGGTCAAAGTTTGGACAGTATACCATTCACGGTGGATGCTACGAACCAGATACATTGTATACAATGCTTCCACAAGTATGTGATACACGATAGAACCGAAGAATATTTTCCGTCTATCGAGGCAGAGTTGGAAATCATTATTTTTTCTGTTCTAGAAAATTTGCACCGCGTTGTTGCGTGTGTAAACTGCCAATCATGCCAGAGCCTGGTCAGGACGAGACTGTGCGGGTCGTGGCTCTGGATCGTAGTTTTCATATTCAATGTTACAAATGCGAAGACTGTGGGTTGGTCCTGTCTTCCGACTCTGAGGGACGTGGTTGTTATCCTTTGGACGATCACGTGTTGTGTAAAAGTTGCAATGCCACTCGTGTTCAAGCATTGACGTCACACATGACAACAGAATTGTGAATTGGATTGTGAATTCGTGAAACCGTGAACCGCGAACCGCGAACCGCGAATCTTAAAAATACGTGATAATTACTGAGATTTCTCGAGCCATATATTACGATCTGTCGTTCAGCTTTCCTCTAGTTATAGTTGTAAGAGTTTCCTTAATTATAGAGGATAAGTATATTCTTCTAGAACTATTTAGCTTTTTATATGTTTATAATTCTAAAGAATCTTCTAATCGGAATCATTTTATATTTTACACTTTTATTCGTTGTTTAACAGGCGAACATAAATCGCGGCATTAATATTAAAGTCAGAGCGATAAGACTACCTAACTAATAAGACGAAAATTATGTCACTTTCGCACTGCCGTGTCGAGAAGACTCGACGATGTTTCTATCGATTGTATTACGAACAGATTTCTATGTACTACTCTTTTCTTCTTAGGATGTTTTTCCCGAGACAAGTGTGATGAATTAGTAGTTACAATAATGAATAATGTGATTCTAGGAAACGTAGCATATACCGCTAAAACAAAGTATTCGATATATCTAGCGTTTAAGGGAACTGTTTGATTTTATGTGAAACGACATTCACGAAAATGGTACGCGAACGCGTCACGACGTAGAAATTGTGCCATTTATTTATTT